CAGTGAATATCAGACCCAGACCGCTGTGAACCGGAGGAAACTTGCGGGATTGGGCCAGAGCGACGATGGCAAAAGTGAGATACGCCATGACAAGGAAGATTGTGACGACCGATATGTTGCCTACGCTCCAACCTGCTGTCGCGTACTACACTCGCGAATGAGCTATCTATGAATGCATCTGTGAAAAGGGGGAGACGCACCGACAGCTCGATCAATCTCGGCTCCTCGCGTCCGGTTAGCACATACGAGGAGTAGGGTTTCGCGGAATCTTTCAAGAGTTGGTCCCAAGCCTGGTGTCCGGAACTTTGCAAACAGTCTGTGTCCGGGAAGAAATAGGTGAACACGAGGAATTCGGCAAAATCTGCCCTTTCCCGCCCAGCGAGGACCATGCGTGGCGTAATGGAAACTGATGCGACGCTAACGTTGTTCGCGTCGCTGAGTGTGTCGAGGATGTTGGTGTCGGCAAGTAACATGCCTTGATCGTGATGCCAAAATTCGAGTGGGGTGATGGCAAGACATTGGCCGTCAGGCTTGCGCAGGCACGGAATGTTGTGGGCGGCTAACGCGGTGGATATTTCTCGTTCGAGTTTGAGAGCCGAGAGTAAAATCTGACGATTCAACACGCCTGCGTCGTCGGCACCAGAACTGTGTATCAAGAGGCGCTCGAGACGTAGAGTCTGTTCGACTCCGCACCGGGCGCGGGCGACCGAGTCTTCGCGCACGCGCAGGTTCTCGTGCCCAGCCCATATGTCGATGAGGTCGTGTTGATCGTAGTAGCTAGAGGTGGCGTCGGTGGCAAGGAAAGGGTCGAGGATCTGAGAGGAGAAGTGGGCGAGGAAGCGGGGTTGGGACGAAGCATATATAGCGAGTGCGGGGTAGAAGAGGGAAGTGATGACGAAGCCAGAGATGAGGATGACTCGAATTTGGTGCTTTGCGCAATGTCTGAAACAGAAAAGAGCGTGAGGAAAGTGTGGAACGAGGGGTGGTAGGAGACGCACATTCCGAAGCGGTGGAAGAATCTATGCCCGTAGGTGCGCGTGCGCTGCAGCAACCGAGATCCTATCCTCGTTACCATTCCTCTCCTTCAAACGTTGGGCTCTCCGCTGATGATACGCGTGTGATCCTGAGTGACGATTCTTGGGTTGCTTCCGGTGGGGGCTGGTGTGTGTGTGTGTGAACGCGTGAGAGAAGTGTCTTCAAGCCACATTTAAGGTCTTGGAGCTATGATTGAAAGGGAGAATGTTGAGCGAACGGAGATCCGAGGACAAAGCGAACGCGAAACGTGCCTTCAGAACATCGCGGTCGGGAAGAGAATGAGTAACAGTCTACTTTGGACGACCGCTGTCGCCCAAGCTGCATCCGCCGCTCACGTGCCCGGCCTTCTCGGCATCGGCTCCGCTCGTCGGCGCTTTCGCCAACTCTGTCCTCTCCTCCGAGGTTCCGTGTCCGCCCTTTCCTTTCCTCTTCGCCTCTTCGCCTCCTCCATGCCCAGCTCGTCGTTGTCTAGGACAGCTATTGCGGCAGCTCGCGCCTCTTCAAGGCAAAGATGTGCGTCTCTAGCCCGCATACACTTGCACGTCGACCAACGTGTCGCGTCACTCTACAGGGCTTCACTCTACCGCTGCTCGCCGCGCGATTACCAACTTCGAGATGCCAGCCATGTCTCCGACGATGACTGAGGGAGGTATCTCTTCATGGAAGAAGAAGGAAGGAGAAACATTCACGACGGGCGACGTCCTGCTCGAAATCGTATGCACGCCCGTCCTCGCTGCCTGTTCATCGTAATGACACACCTTCCGTAGGAAACGGATAAAGCCACTATCGACGTCGAGGCACAGGACGACGGCGTTATGGGCAAAATTCTCGTGCGTGGTTATATCCGTCGTATCTCTTCCGCTTGCATCCGTTCTAACAAACGGCTTCTATAGGCCCCTGATGGTGCGAAAGGCATTCCTGTTGGAAAGGTTATCGCACTCCTCGCGGGGGAAGGCGATGACATCTCTAATCTCGAGGCGCCGAAGGAGGAACCCAAGCCGAGCAAGCAGGCCGCGCCCCCTCCTCCAGCCCAGGCAGCACCCTCTTCCCCTCCGTCCTCCCCTACACCCCCCGCCCAGAGTCACGGACACAAGCATATAGAGCATTCGCGCCCCCTCTTCCCCTCCGTCATGCGTATTCTTCAAGAGAACGACGTCTCCGATCTGAATAAAATCAAGGGTACTGGCGTGCGAGGTATGTTGACCAAGGGTGACGTGCTTGCGTATCTCGGGAAGGCGTCAAGCCCCACGGGCACGTTCAAGGAGGAGAAGAAGGCAGATTCACCGGCGAAGAAGCCTGCCCCTGCGGCTCAAGTGCGTCCTCAGTTTTCTTATCCCACAATTCATCTGCTAACCCGTGCAGCAGCCGCTGGACGGAGCCGCCATCCGTCGTCTTATTGTGGGCAGCATGTATCAGGCGTCTGTCAAAGCCCGGAATGCATCCAGTCAGGCAGTTTGGTCTCGCTGTCCTCGTCCCCGTCGGCTGACCTATCGTTTACTCAGTTCCGAAGACCACCGCCGACTTCGACTCCATCATTGGCGATTACCTCCCTTCATCGCCGGTCTCTGCGCCTGCCAAACCTTCCATCCCTCCCCCGGCAAAACGCCCAACGGGTGATTTCTTGGATGGTCTTGTCTGAGAACCGCGGCTTCATGGTCCCCTAGATTTGCATATACGACACTTGCTAATAGACACAGACGTTCACCATATCCCCATGCATCTGTCGAAGAGCTATATTGTTTCGTCTAGAGGAAGACACTGCGAAAATACCTATCATCAGGAGGAACACCAATGGTACCAACTTGGCTACTGCACTCACCCGGAACTCGATGAACGCCTCGCTTGTTCCGCCCTTCGGCTTTGGAGAGGGCATCAAGAACTGCAAACTCAATAGACCTTCCCCGTCGATCCGCAAGGACGTCTTCGTCGAGCTCTGCAATGCCTTTAACGTCCTGGACATGTGTGAGAAGCGATAGCTGTCCTCGAGTCAGATGCGGCTCAGCGCGATCCAGGTAAACGCGGTCTTACCTGAAGCGAACAGACTTTTCGCAGTCGACGGTCTCCAAAACCTCCCTGTCGTTGGGGTAGTCCATCTGTTGATATGTGAGTAGGGAAAGGGTGGATGGAAGAACGCATTTACCTCGGTGCTCCCAAACGACCCGGCAGCTTGTATACGGAAGATGGGCTTGGCGAGGTCTCGAGCGGCAGCACGCGCGTTGCCCGCTGGTGTGGGTGGGTTGCCAATGAGCGTGAGTTTGTCGCAGGAGGGGTCAAGTTCAGACAAGGCGTCCCGCAGCCAGGAAGACTAACCATCTCGTCAGTGTTCGCCTTGCGGGGAATGCAAAGGCCGCCTACCTTCAAGATGATTTTAAGAACCCTGCATACCGTGACGTGAACGAGCGAGGTGTGCAGAGAATGGCGTAGGAACGTACGTCTCGTCCGAATCGAAGGGGAGGTCGAGCTGAGGTTCGGCGTCGTATGTGGTCACTTCGCATCGGGCAGTGGGACCCGACGTGTCTTCCGCGCTGCAATAATTGTTACCGCACGCTCTACAAGTCGAAGGAGAACGGAACTTACATGATCAACGTCAATGGATGCCCATCTCCCGCATATGACATACGCATCCCCGTCCTCTTGTCGCCTCCACCCGAAAAATACTGGTCAATCTTCCCGTTCCCACCTGCCCGCCTGTCATCCTCATCCCCTTCCTCATCCTCCCCTTGTCTTTTCCACTTCTTGCCCTTCGTGCCACCCCCGGCGCTCCCCTGTCCGGCGTTTCCGAAGATGTTAAGGCATTCGATGAGGGTGTTGAGCGGAATCTCGAGTGCGGTGGTGCTGTCCGCCTGTGAGTTTGGAGGCGGCGTGGGGGAAGGCGAAGATTGGGAATGAGAACGCGGGGCAGGTGCGGCGGTGTATGTGTATTCGTCAAATATGTCGGCAAAGACATACGCGGTTGCTAATCAATGAACCGTGGGTGAGTATATGCGCGTGAAGAAACGGATGTAGGGGCGTACCGAGGACCGTTCGCGCCTCTTCGACGGTCGCAGTGAACCCGCTCTTGGTGATCGTGACTGTTGCGCGCTATATCTTATCAGACGAGGAAACCGATCCTGGAATCAAACACATCATACGTACGTTAGCAAAGTTAACACCACGAAGCAAGCTGGCGAAGTGGCGAACGTCGTGTAAAGACGCCATCAACACCTACCAGGCCTTTCAGACAGAGCCGAGTGGTACTGGGAGCAGCAGGCCACGCACTGGCGCAACTTGTTCGTCATCTTCGCTTTGGGTTGACATGAGTGTTTGACGACCGTTGTTGAAAGAGCGAGACTCGAACGGGTGTAAAGGACCGCGCAGATGAAGGCCGTTTGTGCGAAGGTCGGAACGCGGGCTCGTGACCACTACTCGTCGCGTCCCGCGGTCGATGTCGCGACTCGCATCGCGAACCTCTCAGCGTCCACTCCATTGTACACTTAGTCTGTGCTTTCTCCTCCGGGTATAAACACTTGTCTGATGTGAATGTCTCCGTCTTTCCCCCGAGAATCTCTTTCGGTGGGAACATCCAGAGTAACTGCATCAGCACTCCGGAAAGCGACCTGACGGCACCTGACGCGACCTGACGCGCCTGAATAGCACCGTTCGACCGTTGTCAAGTCGAAGGATCAGTGCTGTCAGGCGCCGTCAGGTGCCGTCAGGTCGGTCAGGTCACTTCCCAGAGTACTGATGTGGCTGTGTGACCAGCTAGTTTGAGTCAGATAAGATCTTACTGATTCAGGCTCCAGAAAGGTTTGTGCGGTGTGAGCTCAAAAAAGGTACAATCAATATTCTGCGTAGACGTAAATGTAGTCCTTACGTACGCATTCTACATGGCCTCAGCAGCATGGAGAAAGTGCGGTGCTGAAAAACTAGGAATTCCTGATCATTGGGATACGCCTCTGATATTTGCGACTTTTGTATCACAGAAAGGTTCGATGGCGTAGTTGGTTATCGTATCTGTCTAATACACAGAACTCAGTTCAAGTCCGGATCGAGCCTGTTTTGCATAAATTATTTTAGAAGCGAAGGACACGGTCACATGATCTTATCCTTTGCCGAGAGGCCAACCCCGATCTGATTCTTAAGACTTAAGTACAGCACTCACCGCATCACGATCATGCTCACTGAAAATGCAGCGGAGGCGGCGGAGTCCACCGGCTCCGTCAAAAAAGGCCCGCATAAATGCAAGGGCAAGGAACCGCTTGCCGGGACCATGTACGTATATCTGCCCCAGTCAATAAAGAGCAGCTCATAGCGCGTTACAGGGACAAGGAGGCGATCGAAACCCTCGCCGCCGTTGCCGGACGACTTATAATCCACCAAGCTCGCGCAGATATAGTCAACTACGAGAAAATCGCGGAGGGCAGGAAGCTAGAGTTGAAGATAAAGCAGGCGGAGCAGGCTACCGCCGAGGCGTACGTAAAGGGACTCAAGTTGCAGATTAAAATCGACCGGGATAAGCGCAAGGCGTTGAGAAGGGAGTGGAAGGCGCAGGTGCAGGTGCAGGAGGGAATGGTTGTAGATTAGTGGGTATATGCGTGTACATGCTTGGTCAGGGTGGCTATATGCATGCGTCCTCGTTCGTGTCCATGTCATCCTCATCGCTGTCACTGCCGTCAAGCGTGTTATCCTGCAGAGCATCCCATTCCTCGTCCGTGACGACCGTAAGGTCGAGTGGGAGATCCGTCGCGTCGAAGGCGTGCAGGTGACCTTGAAAGCGAAGGATGCTGTCCAGCACTCCCTCGCTGAGATCCACGCCGACCTAACGCCCGAGTGAGCCACACGCGCGAACGGTGGATGCGATTCCCGACATACCTCCCGTGCCCGCTCCGCAATGTCGGATACTTGCATACCGGAGAAGAGCGAAACGAGGCCTGCGAGGTTGATGAGCGTGGGCACCTTTTTCTTAGCGTATTTGGTTTTTGGCCGGGTCGCCGGAGGGGTCTTTGAAGGGCCTGCGGGGGTCGTTGTCGAAGGGCCGGCTACGGGGGCCACCGAAGGCGCGACGCCGCCGACCCCCTTTGACTTTTCGTTTGATGGAACGTAGTGGTACTTGTTGTAAGTGCGTGACCATTGCGCGTGCATCGTCTTGTGTTCGTCGCATTTCGAGCACGACAACAGAAGGTGTTCCACGAGATCGCCCTGGGTTGCAAACGCCCTGCAGCGCGATGTGAGGTAGGGACAGGTAAAGTGTGAGCATACGCACATTTTATCCACCGGGCATACCCACCGATGTTTCCTTTGAAGCGAGCTTCCGAGGTCGGCGCTGTCCAGGAGTCTTCTCCAGAGAGTATGCACAATCCTGAATACCGGTCAGGCTGATTCCGCGAGGAACACTGAGGGCACGTACTGGTGACGAAGTAGGTGGCGCCACGACTCCAAGGTGATTTCGCACCCCGGCTCGTCGCAGCACCATCTTCCATCGGCGTTCTGAACAGCGTCGGTGAGTGGTGACAAGAACGAGGGAGCGGTAACCGTCACCTGGTATTGTGCTTTGCGCTGTCGTTCAGTGGCCAAGGGGAGGCAGAGGTACTTGAAGAAGGCGGGACGCACGATGGACATGTCCACGGGAAGAAAGTTAGACTCGGACGGCGAGTCCAGCTGGAAGTGACCGCCTGCGATGTCCCGCTCTTGGACAAACCCGCCCTCGGTGTTATCGCCTTGGTTCTCGGATTGGCTTGTATCGGCCAGACGCTGCTTGGTCGCGTGTACCATGGCCCGAAGATCGCCGTTAAATTTGACGACCACTTCCCGTTCGAGCAGGGTGGACGCCAGCGTCTCTTGCTCCTGGGGCGTCTCCGTGTTTCTAGCGGCGAGGTAGATCTCCAGTTGCTCGTGGTAAGTTTGCCAGGAGGCCAGGTCATTCTCGTCCTTGGGCTGGACAGGAACCTCGAGGGCGACTGGAGACCGCGTTAGCGTGCACCCGCAAGCGAAGGCGACGACGAGACGTACCGGGAGCTGCAAGCACATTGGACACGGGCCAGGGGATAGCGGAACGGAGAACATCCTTGGTGCTCGGTTCTGGCGCACTCGTGGTGGCCATGGCCTCTGCCAGGAGCGGTACTGTCGTCTTGAGGTGGTCGAGAGCGGCGGCGCGATCGCCCACCGTTGCGGCCCGACGGACGATGCTCGCGTCGAGAGCGCGTTGAGCGTTGACGTCTGAGCGGATGCGCTTGGCGATGGTCGCCCGTCGGGACACGAGAACGGCGTACAGCACGTTCAGCTTGATCCGCGCCTGCAGGATTGTAAGCGACGTGGAGAGACGTAGCGGAGAACGAACTGACTTTGCCCGCACGTTCGAGCACCAGCTTCTCGGCATTGGAGAGGTTGTTCAGTGCGACGCCCGTCCTGAGGGAATGAGAAAGGGGCGACTTGAGGGCGGCTTCCTTGGCCTCGGTTTCGACGTTGTCGACGTCGGGGTCGTCCTCAAGGTCTGGGATGGCTGCCGCCTGCTCAGGGTCGACGAAATGGACGTCGGCACGCTTCATGATGACTGCCATGTTTTGCTTGACTTTCCTGCGGTCCTCGTCGACGTAACCGGCAAAGGGTTTGTGGGACGCTCCGTCGGAGACCAGGAACGAGATCCAGTGGTCCCAGACGACGATGATGCGCCGAGCCAATCGGCGGACGACGAGGTCGTTCTGCGTCGAAATCAGAGAGGGCACACGCAGGGGGGATAGGGAGACTCACGTCTAGTTCGGCGGTCTGCTCGTCGGTAAAGACGACCTTCGCCAGCGTCGTCGTGCCTCGGCCGGTGAAGTCGACGTCGTTCGCGGGCTGAGCCTGGCCTTCAGCCTTCTTTTCCGGGTCGATGCGACCGATGAGCGCCATCACGGCGGCGCACCCGCGTTCGTGAAGGCCAAGGCTGCTCTAGAGGGAGGTTAGCGCGGGAGGAGGGGAACTCGAAGGTAGATCGCACCCTGGTCATCTCGGAGGCCTCCTCGTCAAAGTCGCCGAGGCGGATGCGAGTGAGGGACAGGTTGGCGGGCCCTCGACTGTAGTGGCGGCTGAGCGTCCTGAAATCGCGAGAGGAGTGGCCGAGAATGCCAGCAGCGTGCTCTTTGTTCAGGACGGTGATGTACTGCGCGGGACCGTCAGCGTGAGCGAGAACGACGAAGGTCAGACGTACGTAATTGCCCGTCTCTCGACGAAGGGCATAGAGACCGGTCGAGGGGAGGTGGGCGTTGCGCGCGAGGTTGGAGATGGTGCTGTACAGAGTACCGGACGTCGCCGGTGTGGTCGTCAAAGTGGGACCTCCAGCGGCGGGTGTGAGAAAGCTGCGAGGGGCGGTGAGCGGAAGGTCGGACGGGAGGGCGCGAACGTACAAGGCTTCTTCGAGCATTTCCGGCACGATCTCGAGCATGGCGGTGTGATCAGTGATGAGGGTGTCCGCGGTCTGGGGGGGGGGGGGGGGGGGGGGGGGGGGGGGGGGGGGGGGGGGGGGGGGGGGGGGGGGGGGGGGGGGGGGGGGGGGGGGGGTTGATGAGAGGGGTAAGCGAGGGAAGACGAGGGGACGAACGACGTTGGGACCGAACGCGCCGCGCTCGAGCAGGTACGCGACTATCCAGGTCGAGGGCTCGAGGGGGAGGTTGTGCACAAGTTTGACGGGCTCCAGTATATAGTCTTGCTCCTTTTGATACGCGCCCTGTTGAAACCCCTGAATGGCACGGTGAGAACGATCCGGGGGGAGGGTGGGGACCGGCCTACCTTCCAATTATCGATGTTGAGGGTGACGTTAAACTCGAGGACGCCGACGCGTTCGATGGTGATGTTCTTCAGTTTGAGGTACTGCGCGGGGACGGTGAGGAAGGAATCGCGGGGGGGGGAGCAGGCGGTCTCACCTTGCCGAGCTCGCGATAGCCAGAGCTCGAGGCGGCGAGAGATCCAGGTCGCGCGCCGAGGATGAAGCCAATCAAGATCGCGCAACAGGTCTGCAGTTTAACGAGGCGGCCGACGTTCGTGGAGTTGGCCAGAGCCTCGATGAGGAGCTGGCGAACTTCGTGGCGACCGAATCGGTGAACGGGTTCGCGCTTGCGGTCGAGTTTGTACTCTTGGATGACTAGGGAAGGGGTGAGAGAAGGTAAAAAAAGGAGGGAGAACCACGCACGGGATTCCATCTCGTCCTCGAGGGTTTTGTAAAAATTGGCCTGGATGAGCAGTCGGAGGCCGACAAGCTCGTTGGTCGTGCCGTCGTGGCAGTACATGACGATGCAACTGACAAAGGTGATGAGCCACTCTTGCAGCGTGCTCGCCTTGACGTGCGGGCCGTATCTTCCAGGGGTGGCGATCACCTGGAGGAGGGTGTGAGGAGGGAAAGGAGGGAAGCGGGAGGGAGAGCGTACGCGGGTGCGGAGGTAACTGGCGCCGTACTTGCGAACGGTCTGGACCGTCCAGGCGTCTTTCTCAAGGACGCCGAACTGGAACAGGTGCGCGCCCCAGTCGTTGAGAGAGGAAAAGAGTTTTCGTTGTGTAAACTCGTTGGCGAGCTCCTTGGGCACGGTGGCGGCGTCGAAGATCTCACGAAGCAGTTCGTCGGTGGTTCGTTCCCCGGCGTGGCGGGCGAGGTTAGTGCTCAGTCGAGCGGCGGCGGCCCCGCCCCATTGAGCCTGAGGAGCCCCTCGAAACTTGAGGGGGGCGTAGAGGTCTTCCATAGAGTCGCCGTCTGGAGGTACGTAGGCGGGTGGTGCGGGCAGCGGGACGTCGGGGACGTCCTCGACGGGGGTCTTGCGGGAGAGACGAGGTAGGTGAGGGGGAGGCGGGGCCGGCTGTGGTACCTGTACCTCGGGGGTCTGGCGAGACGGCGCGGGGACCTCTGGGGGAGGCGCGATGTCGTCAGGCGGGCCCGGCTGCGGTACTTCCACCTCGGGAACGTCCTCGACGGTGACCCTGGGGCCGGGTTGAGGGTGTTCCTGGGCAACCTGGGGAAATGTGAGAGCGTGCGCAAGGGGGCAAGTACGGGAGACGCGAACGGTGCGACGACCGAGACTGGAAAACTTGGT